TCTGCTGGAGCCAAATCTGGCGAATACGGAGGATGATCAAGGTACTGTGATCCTTTTTCTGGCAAAAAATTCGCGGACGATCTTCAATTTGTGGGGTGTGGCATGTCGTGGAGGAGCGACCAGGAAACTTGCCCTCGATATTCAGGTCGAATTCGAAGAATTCTCGCCACAAACGATTGAGGACTCGGAGATAATCAGAATTCACTGTTTGACCTTCTGGCAGAAATTCATTGTGAATGATTTCTTTAGAATCGAAGAAAACGGTTAGAAGTGTCTTTACTCGACTCTTTTGCATGCGCACTTTCTTTGGTTTCGGCTTCTTTGGGCTCAACCACGCTGTCTGCCGCTTTGTAAGAGGCTCATATTGAAAACACCATCCCTCTTCACCAGTAACAATCGGTTTTGTAAATTTTGTATCACTTTGGGCCGACCGTAACATGTCTTTGAAGTGTTCCACTCCGGCATGTTTTTCATTGTCTGGCAGCGCGAGCTTTACAAACCGCGCACAGACCTTCCGTTTGCCTAAATCCTTGGTCAAAATTTTTTGCACAGTACTTTTTTTTGTATTCTAAAAAGCTCCTCGATGAGTCTTGCAGAAACACATCTGTCTGATGCAAGGATTTGGGTCACTTTTTTCACATTTTCTTTGGTGCGACTTGTTCTCGGCTTTGATGCACGTGGAGCGTCTTCGGTGTTCTCCCTGCCGTCACGAAATACAGCATACCATCGAAAAATGTTCAAGCGACTCAAACAATCACTACCGTTCACACTATTCATCATTTCGTACGCTTCTTCGGCTGTTTTGCCTAACTCTAAACAAAATTTGATGTTGGCTCTCTGTTCAACCGCCATTTTCCGACGAGCGTCAGAACAGTGCTGTTACACATGATGCAGCGATGCTTGCGCTTTGAAATTATAAAAAACCACAGCTTAAACTTCAAGAATCTTAACGCCACAACTTGCCGACAGATGGCATTGCAGAGCAAAATTTAAAAAAATGAGTCCTAACAGATCCTGGACACACCGTGTACGCGTGTGATATTCAGAGATATTACATGTAAGCCTACCATATTTCCTAATGTATCAAACGCATTTTTTCTCATAAAGCGTTGACGCAAAATCCCTTATAAAGTGTTACATAAAATTATCTTGCATCAAGAGTTTGTAATGTACGTAAATACGGCGAGCTTCCTAAATGTGGTGAGTCAGGAAATGCCGAAATTCGATAATGCATTCATAGCAGCCTGCCACTATACCCTTCCTAGACGAATCCAGTCCGCACCCTTACATTTTAATATTATTCGCCTGTCTGAACAAGTGGTCACTTGCCTTGAGATATTCTGGGTACAGTTTCGTAGGCCTGTGTTTTTGTCATGGCTTTCGCGCTTGCCGCTTTGCCTCACTCAGCTCATTCTTGATTAGGAAGGTAACAAGACTCAAAACTGAATTTAATCTGATCTGACACTATGAAACGTCTGTTCAATTTGTATTGTCTGCAGCTACGTGTAGACTGCTTAGCAAATAATGAAGTAGCTGCTGGCTACTCGCTTTTCTATTTGAGCTTATTTGTGTTTTCCCAAGATTCATTAAAAGACATACTAAGAATATAAGACACAAATACGTTAACTGCACATAAAGTACTGTAAAAATAACGAACTGCTTCTGGAATGATATTTAGTTGCAGTTCGCTTTTAAAGTTTGTTTTAACAGTGGCTTCCAAATGCTGGTTCAGTTTGGTGTTTTGATAGAACTTCTTATGCTGTAGTGGTTGGTAGGTTTGAACTGTAAGCCTGTATATCATCACATGATGAGAAAATTGTAAAGAACGGTTAATACGTGATTTCGAAACAGACCATCGTGGCATACTTATATTTCAAGGCGCTGTCCTTCCATCCGCCTCTAGAAACTGGCGCTGATCAGGTTGATGTAGAGATAACGCTCTAATCTTGTATTCAAGACATCGGCTATCCTGCCTGAGGGGTTTCGTAGTTTTCTTCAGTTGCTCCTGACAGTCTCCGAACAGCACCTCGATTAGTCCACGGTAATTTCCTTCCAAATCCCTTATAGTTCATCGTTCATCTAATATCATACTATCGAACACCATATGGTCTCGACAGTGAAACTGTTAAGTAAGCTAGGCAAAACTCGAGAGACAGGAGATAATCAAGGAAAATCTCCGCCATGATCGCTGGTTACCCGGTCGAGACTCTAACAGGGTATCTTTTGAATGCAAGTTTATGTTACCGCAACATTTACTTTCTCGGTGACGACGAAAGGGGAAGTGATTTTTACCCTGTCATATCTTTCACCACGAGGTGTGCCTTCAAACATTAAATATCCAGTTATCACTTTTATGAACGCATTTCATTTCAGGCCATACAGATATTTTCAGACGCTGTTTTATCTTATTAAGATCTGCCTTTCGCGGAGTCTGACGTCGAAAGTATTCCAGGCGCTTGTGAATGGCGATCAGAGCATTGAGATCCATTCATGCTTTAATGACTATAGGGCGGTGTGCATTTCGTTTGTTATGATACCGTCTCTCCATTCTGTTACGGTGAAGGGTCTCACTGACCAAGCCCTTTTTCCATGACGTATGAATTATGCGTTGCCAGGCTTCGTACAGCGTCCTGTGTTCTCCTTTGCTTAATTTGGTGGCATTTACCGCAGATCGTAACGGATACTGGCTATAACTTATTATTAGTCGTATAAATGACGTCCCCAAGTGTTATTGACAGAATCTTCTTGTTCATATTGCATAAAAATATAAAGGGTTATCTTATTCTATCTTGAAATTTGCAGCAGAAAAGTGCATGTTTTTAAAGTGCCACTAGATGGTAGGCATTGTATTAATTGGATTCCGGTTAATTAGGACATATCAGGACTAGAGTACTTTGCTTCAAATGTACGAAGTTGCATGTAAAAGGTTTAAAAAGCTATACAGTAGGTACATAAGACAAACCGTAAGCTTTCCGTTTACTGAGTAAAGAAAATACCGAGTTTAGATGAGTTGAAACAATTAGTACAAATCACAGAAAAGAATTTGGTTCATTTACGTATCCAACAGGCATATGCTTCTTGACAGTTAGTGACGGAGGAATTGATCGAGTGTGCCCTGCCGTGTTCTCTTGATTATCTGCAAATGAGCAAAATCTGCGCAGGTTTCTAGTGCAGATATAGGACCGCCTTCATTGCCTTCCTGCATGAAATGAAGTTGTAGTCTAGCAATGAATTCATTAGCATCCTGTTTAGTCGCTCGGTCGTGTCGTCCTCATTGGTTTTCTGATCTTCTGATGTGTCTCTGTAATTTGCTCAACAATTGCTTCCTGGCAATCTTCATTTTCATTATTATGTTGAATACTATTGTCGATGTATGACAGCTCTTCGTTATTTCTGACGTTATGCATTTCCAGTATGACGTCATTCTTACTGTCGGCCATATTCGGCATCTCCAAGTATAAGTGTTTAGAACCACAGTGAGCAAAGCAGTTCTGAATACTGTGGGCAACTGTGAGCGAAATGCGCAGGTTGATGAATTAACATTATTTCGAATGATAGCGATTCGAGATTGCAGTTGAAAGACTTTATTTACGAGACAAAATGTGTAACAACACTTACAGACAGTTCGCGCCACTTTCGCTATATTTAGAGGCTACAATCGAGATAAGTAATTGCTGTACTTGTTTTTTTTTATTACTAGTGGGGTGAGACTAAGTCCCTTGTACTGCGGTCACTTCTGGCCTATTGTACCAGCCCCAGATAATAGGTGAAGGTGATTGTTGAGCAATTGGTGGAATGAAGATTGGCAGGGGAAACCGAAGCACTAGGAGAAAACTTCCCCCAGCGCAACTTTGTCCACCATAAATCCCACTTGACCAGACCGGGGATCGAGCCCGGCCCGCCACGGTGGGAAGCCAGCGATTAACCTCTTGAGCTATAGCGCGGCCTGCTGTACTTGTTACTCACGATTATATATTTTTTTTTTGGTTGCTTAAGAAATATTGACAAAATTTTCATGAAATTAAATAAACATTCTTAAAAAAAGTATTTCTATTGCATTTACCCAGTTGAAGTGCTGGGCATGTTAATGTGCCCAACCTCGTACATGGGACTAGATATTGGGGGGGGGGGCAAAAATGACAAATTCGCCAGTTTATGGTAGCGGGATGAGAGGAGAAAGCTGCAGTACAGAAGGACGCCAGCCAACAGGCTCTATTTTTAACGAGATGTATGAAGATTTGTGAAGATTTGTTTCAAGGCTGCAGTAGGAAATATTGGTGGCACGAAATGCGAATGTGTAAATGTAATTATTGCTGTGTCATCAACTGACCCCAACAGGATTCATCAGTTAACTGACAGTGTGGGATAAATTGGTGACAATGTAATGTTCCATTAAATATTTCGTGCAAAGTGAAGTCAGTAGGATCTTGCACATGTTAGTTCACTAATGGAACTTACGTACTTCAGTAGTTCCAGTGTATGCGTTTTGTTTTTATAAATTCCCTTGGCATCGCACGCTTACCCCACTTTCCCCCCTGCTGCCTTGAGCTCGTTTCAACAAATAATTACTTCTTTCAAAATCAAAACAATCTTTTTTTTTTTCCTTGGCACTACAGCCCCAGTGGGCCTAGGCCTACCTCCATGAACTTCTCCGTTCACTTCGGTTTTTCTAGATCTTACACATTCGGTAGGACCCCTTGGGCGGGTGATCAGCTCGTCGCAAGGCCTCTACCTGTACATAAACTCAGAAAAACACACACACACAAACTAAACATTCATGCCCTGAGTGGGATTCGAGCCCACGATCCCGGTTTCCAAGCGATCGAAGACAGTACATGCCTTAGACCGCTCGGCTACCGTGACCGGCTTAATTTCATATAAGCGACACAAATGTCATGCGCCCTTGTTCCTTTCTACAGGTGCATTCCGTTCTGTCTTATTACTAAGAATCAGTTTCGCATGAATTCTATATACAAAGCACAGCTTCGTGAATTTAAGGAAGAGATTAAGCTTGAATCTTGATGGTAAGAAACCGGAAACGCTGTGGTTTCACTCCTTCCCTCCCTGATTCGCTTCTTCGTGGTTCTGTTATCTCACGGCGGTTTCAGTCACTCGGATCTACGCCGAAATACCGCAACGTGCAGGTCGCCTTCCTAAGCTAGCAGCGTATACACAGGTAAGATTGAAGCAGACTAGAAAATGGGACATTTGTGTCACCGGAGTTCATAAACATGATTTTAACCCTTTAAACTCCATTTCTTTTCTGAAATGAAGTTTATCATATATAACGTTGGGCGTATTCTTCCCGTTTCTTCCCATCACGCAGTCTGAGAAATTTAAAGATGAAATAAGCCTGTACTTCCTGTTGATTATTACACGGAAGTCAAACTTTGCAATAGGATTATTCTAATATGGATCAGTTTTAGGTAGGGTATATATTTCAGCAAGTTCATCACAGTGGCCGCGCGGTCTAAGGCATGGACTGTCTTCGCCCGCTCAAACACCGAGGTCGTGGCTTCGAATCCCACTCGATGCATGGATATCTGTGTGTTTATTCTGAGTTTGTGCTGTCCTTTGTGCATGTAACAACCTTGCGACGTGCTGATCCCCCGTCCAAGGAGCCCTGCCTACTATGTATAAAAGGTGAAGGCCCTGGGCTTAACTAATTAAGTTCTACGCCATAAGGACGTATGTCGGAGTGAATGTCTAGGTCCACATTTTCTTTACCTCGTCACTAGCTGGAGGTGAGTGGTAAGTTTCACGCCCAGGCCGCTTTGCCCCAGGGGAAAGAGCCTCCCTTATCCATCGGATAAGGGATTGGGTGGACCCCAGAGCCGGTCTGGAAGACGTGGAGAAGAGAAAAAATTTGGCCCTGCCGCGGCTCGAACTCCGATCCCTCGGTTATCCACCCCTTTGCCAGTCGTTATACCGACTACGCTATCCCGGCTTCACCCACTGTGTATAGGATTAAGAAACTGAAAAAGAGGCCAAGGTTGAACGAAATGCTGTAGGACAATGGACAGATATATGATATTTCAGCAATCGTGAAATAAATAGAGAGGGTTTATCTACGCAGAAACTGGGCTCAGTCAGAATAGTGACTTGCTGCGGGCTGGATAGCCAGGATACGATTTCCGGAAGGGGAAGGATGTTTCTCTTTTCCTTCAGTTCAGACTGGTTCTGTGACAGGGCGTAAAGTGTTGGAGATGTAAGCCTTACCGCTTACCTCCATCTACTACCGAGTTTGATGCATGGAGTTATACCTCCATTTCCTCATGTTGTTCCATCACGTGGTGCATAATTAAACACAAACACATCTTCACCTGAACAGTGCTCTGAGGAGAATATTTGGACGGAGAAAGATGAAGTAACCGGAGGCTGGAGAAGACTGTATAATGAGGAGTTTCTTAACGTGTACTCTTCTCCAAGTATAATTAGAATGATGAACTCACGGAGGATGAGATGGGCATGGCATGTAGCGCGAATGGGTGCTAAGAGGAATGAATATAGGATACTGGTGGCAAAACCAGAAGGAAAGAAGTCGCTAGGAAGACCAAGACATAGGTGGGTGGATAATATTAAAATGGATCTTAGAATGGGATGGTATGGACTGGATTTATTGGCTCAGGATAGGGACCAGTGGAGGGCTCATATGAACACGGTAATGAACCTTCGGGTTCCATGAAATCCTGGGAGGTTCTTGAATAGCTGAGTGACTGACGGCTTCTCAAGAAGCGCTCAGCTCAATGACTTTTGCTACAGCTTTACATTAGGAATGGCTACGACTCACATTCAAAGTATTTGAGATATGATATGTAGCATCTACGTTGTCTCTAAACATTCAGGAAAGTAACACTAATGAAATCGTCCCTCGAAGCCACCTAGACCACAGAATATAAGGAAATTAACCTCGGTCTGTGCATGACGGGAAATAATGGTTGTGGGACACAAAGAAACGGTAACACTTTAGCAAGGAAGTTTATATTTGAAATTCACACTCAACGCTACTGACGCAGTTTAATCTTGGTTTTTATTGCCATAACATATCTCTTATCGAACATGTACGTGTATGTTTTCTCCAAAAGACAGACCAACATATAAATATTTGGAATGTAACGTAAAACAGAATGTCACGATGTATAATTTTCACTTGTAAAGTTTTGGGTCATCAGCTATTTGAAATCCCATTCAAGAACTAAGGGCACCTCTAGGATCCTACAAAACATCAAAGTTGTATATGTATTTTCTTCTATTTTCCTCAGTACCATTTGTATCTTATTCCGGCGTAGAAAGCCTAGATTAACGGCCGTGGGGATCCCTTGCGCTGATCACGTGACACCCTCTATCCGCAAAAGTTGACACTAACTCTGCCGAGAAGCGGCGGTCGCTCGGTCGGTATAGTTCGCTTGTGGACTACAGGCCACGGAGTTTGTATCTTATATGTTGTTCGTTTTAAGTCAATACCCCATTTCAACTAAATGTTCAGAATGTAGGATTTGAGTTTCCCAGAGCAGCGGTTATGAAGAGTACTATCTTATGGGATACAACGCCATATAATCCATTGAAAATAAATAGACGTTTCGGAGAAACGTCGTTTGACTTCGAAAGCACTACACTGCTTTCTGTCCCAGAGAAAGTACTGTTCAGATGTTCAGAATGATTGCGAAAGCTGGACGACAGAATGCGAAGCCCAGACTGACGCAAACTTGGGTTCCGTAAGGTGCGTGTACTGACCAACAAGAGGGGGTGATTACATTACGTTAAGGTGTGTCGAGTGGACGGTTGCAAGTTGAGAGAAGGTGCCGTGAGGTAGCTGGTCCCAGGTTAATGACACGCCGACTCATGAACACGAAGCATACGAAAAAGATGGAAACGATTACCTGCTGTGACATCTGTTTCTGTTTGTCATTTTAATCTTTGTGTAATTTATTTCGTTTATCTAAAAACTTAAAAGAACAAAGAATTTTAAAATTTAAGTCCAAATGTCTTGGAACGATACTAAGAAATAAGACAGGCCGTGTCATAGCTCAGGCGGTTAGTCGCTGGTGGCCTGCGTTCGAACCCAAGTTGGGTCGTGTGGGATTTGTAGTGGACAAAGTGGCACTGAGGCATGTTTTCTCCTAATACTTCGGTTTCCCCTGCCAATTCTCATTCCACAGACTGCTCCACATTCATCAGCTATCATACAGGGCAGGTACAATAGGTCAATTAATGGCCGACGTCCCAAGTGGACTCAGTGTCACCCCACCTCGAGGAAGTAAAAGAAGAAAAGAAAAGAAATGGTGGAAAAAGAAATACACGAGGATGAAGCTGAAACTAAAACATTAAAATGCAGTCTACAGTTATCAAAAGTGAAAAGTGTACCCGTTTTGAGAACACATGGTATGTGAATTGTCTTTCCCATTTTAGGTGTCGCTTTGAATTTGGTGTTCATTTATTGCAGATAAAGTTTATTATCGCCAAGCGAATCGAGACACAGGAACACTGAAGAGAATTATTTTCCTTTGTAGTTTGTTACATACTCAGCATGTCGAATACTGTTTCAAGAAATAAAAGTTGTAAATTTTAATAAGGAGAGTCCACATTGGAGACATGGGCTTATATGGGAGAATAATATTAAAATGGATCTTCAAGATACAGAATGAAAAGGACTAGATTATACGCTCTCATTTCAGAATTTAATGGTGAACATTTGTGACCTCAGTAATGGAACTTCTATTTAATTAAAAGAAGGGACTTAATCCTCGACCAGTTGAGGAAAGTTCTCCAAAGAAAGCCTTGTAAAATGGAGTTATTTCAGTGATTAAGTGAAAGAAGACAGTCCTTTCTCTTGAAACCATTGCTTGTAATTGGCTATGCTACTTTGATATAAATCTGCAGTGTCCACAAATTTACTTCGGTTTTGTCAGTTTTCATGTTTTGGCCTATTTCGTTTCCAGCCAGATTTTCTGTATATTCTAATGACAGCTTCATACTCTGATATATCTGTATAGGTTAATTTTTCCTGTTATCTGCGCCATAAGGGTTATTGGCCTTTTTTAATTATTTATGTTTTGCCTGTTTATCATTCATATTGTGGCGTTCCACCTAAAAGCCGGTACAGTTGAGTGAGATCAAAGTTGATTTCCTAGGCAACAAGCACTAAGAAAGCACGTTCCCGCGACAACGGCTTATCATGGGACTAGTACGCATGCACGTCCATGGAAACACTTGGCTAGACACATTAGTTACTGCAGAACTGGAGGTGTTTCCATAGTAACGCGTACATAGGCAGGAGGTTACCACGGAAACGAAATACTGAGTTACCGGTGGTACTAAGTTTTCTATTCTTGTTGCCTGTCTGATGATTAATTTGAGTCTTACTGTTCGAAACTTTAATCCCCCACCCATCGTCTTTAACCTCCGTATGAACATCATGGCATTGAATACCTTACAGTCTTGTTACATTTTAAAAGATGTGAAGTCCGGCTTTGATGATTAATATTATGGTCTTCTGAGTTATGACACCGTGTTGTCTGGTAGTCTCCTGCTAGACTATACCATGGCAAAACCTAGAAAAATACGATGTTGGCACGTTTTAACTTCCCATCATCAGTAGTACTAACATGACAGCCATTCTAGCTTGTAAGTTTGGTTGAAGGGGAACATCATTCAGTCTGTCGACCTTGCGTCTTTGTGTGTTGACAGAGCGTTGATAGTCACATAAGCTGTATGCACTATTTTGTGTATGAAAACGCAAAATAATAACGAGACAGTTGAATTTGAGATTTCTTTCTGATATGAGCATATGAGAGTACGATAATTTGGACTGTAACGCCATTGTCGTTCTGTAGAATCCCTGACGTTTGGACGCCTGCTTGGTTTACTTTTCGATCCCAGATATGGAGGCGATTCTTTGCTCCGAAACGTCGGATGACTTCTACCGAACTACATGGCATTACAACCCATAATATCCTACTCCTCAACAGTATGCCGATCGGGCGAAAATATCTTTGTACGATGCTGATAACTGGACCGCTGATGACAAGGAGATATTACAAACACAGTTAAGTTATAATAGCCGTATTGTTATGATTATGAACCATAATTTGCACCAGATCAGCAGCAAGTGATCTTAATCTATCTAATGGCGCTACATCCCTTTGCTGGACCTTGGCCGCTTTTCAGTTTCTTGAT